TCAGACTTGAGCTATGCAGGTGCTTGGAGAGAAAAAGAGAGAGAGGCAGAGAGACAGAGTTTGGAATGTGCTTTTGCTTCATGAGCTGCTGAAGGATTTTATCCACATGGACAAAGAATGACCATTTAAAATATCTCATAAAATGACATTATGTGAATTGATGTAATTGATCACATGATTGTACATATATTGTTCTGAACTATGAAGAGTAAACTACTTGTTCTTTACTGCTCATCTGTGTGGCATATTTTCTTTCTCTGGTAAGGCATTGTGTGGGCTGATCAAATGTGAACTATGCATGATTTTCATGTCATCACAATTCTGATCTAGGCTTGCCAGATCTAAGCGTCTGAATCCCAAGTGTGCAGTTTTCATGGGTTCTATTCAGACAGGAGTCCAGGGGAGTCCAGGGGACAAATTCTCCATACAAGATGAAAGGGCTGCTGCTCAGCTATTAAATCTTGCTGAATCTCACTACAAGTTTCAAGGTGTATTATTCACTGGTGAAACTTGAAAAGACTTGTGGGTTTATATGTGTGTGTCTATGGATTTCCTCCAGGACCTTCCAGACAGGCCCATATCCTAGGACCTGTCTCAGTTTAACCTGAGGCATCCAAATGATGCTACAGGTAAAACTGAATTAATCCAGGAAAAACTGGGATTTCCCAGTTTGCTCTGGGTGAAAAAAATGCCTGGAAATATCCAGACCTTAAGCTAAGGTCTGGATCTTTCCAGGTGAGGACCCTGTGGGACTTGAATTGTGGGATTGCTCCTGGAACCCGAAAGCATGGGATGGTGCCTCATCCTCCCCTCCCAGATCTCCATTTCCTCTTCCCCCCTCCCCCTCAAATTAAACCCACCTGAGGGGCCTGCAGGTAGCACATGCCCCTCTGGAGAGCTCTCCTGGTGCTTAAAAATGATGCATCAGGAGGTGTTGATGGAGGAGGGAGTAGAGGAATGAAATCCCCTCAGACCCTTCAGGTAAGTTGGGGGGGGGGAGTGGTGGACTGAGGAGAGACTGAATGACCCGGGAGGTTATGTAGCCACTCCCTCAGGGCAATCCCAGGGTTGTGGGTGGGTGTGTGACCTTTAAATAACCCAGTTCCTCCCAGGATTAAGTCCTGTCTGGAAGGGTCCTTAGTTACTTTCCTCCTTTTCTCCCATTCACTTTATTGCCATGGCTCATCTTCCCCTCTGCATTGCTGTGTGTGCATTTTAATGGCAAATTGTTAGCAACTGTTTTTAGTATTTAATGCATACTAAATAACTTGATGTCAGCAGAATGCCATAAAGCAGGGGGTGTTCCATTGCTTCATTTTTGGGAAGATCTTGAAAGATTCTAGACTTCAGACTGTAAATTACTAATAGTACGCAATTCCATTCATCAGCCCACCCTAAATCACTTCTAAGAGGATCGTTACAATATAATGCTGGATGCATGCAGACATTTCTACTTATTCCAGAAATAAGAAGCAACTACTATCATAGTAAATACATTTAGGAAGAGTCCTGCAGGGTCAGATCAAAGGCCTACTTAATCCAATAGCATATTCATGGAATCACCAGCCACTTACCCTGTTAGGAACCCAACACAGCAAGGGACATTTTTAAGACTCCTTGGGACTGTGATATGATTAACAGCAATGGTTAAAATATTTTTACTCTGCAGTTTCTAGGAAGAAATTTTTTTTGCAAAGTGTATCTGACATTCCAATTCAGGACAAAGGTGGAAATCAGGATATTTGGAGGGTAGAACAGGTTGGTGGTTGGTTTCCTTGGATCCTTTCTCCAGCAAGCATGGAATCACATTAAAAACAAACAAACTGTCAATATGCAAATACTCACATATTTGAAAATCTAAACATCCGGTTTCTCTGCTTGCTGGGTTGCGTGTCTTACGTTTCATTATATTCTATGAGTATTTAATCCCAATAATGCTAGTGAAGACATCTTGGATCAGGTTGCAATTGTACAATCATGTGCGTATAGTGTATGCTGAGGATAACTGCATATTCGAATATCTGAACTTCTGAGATTCTCTGCTGTGCCACCCATCAACCCCACCCAGCACAGCCACTAGTGAAGAATGATGGGTGTTTCATTCTAGCAGAGCCTTTAAAGACCTCAATTGATCTATGCATGCATAAAGGCTTGCACGACATCGGTCATTCCCCGCCCTTACCTTGTTGGGTTTACACTCTTCCAGGGCCCTTCTGGACAAGCCCTATATCCCAGGCTCTGATCCCAGGTTTTCCGATTTAAACTGGATTATATGAGTCCACACTACCAGATAATCTGGGGATAAATAGAAAACCTGGGATCAGATCCTGGGATACAGGACCTTTCTGGAAGGCCCCCAGCCTCCAAATAACTCTTGCCGAGGAAATCCTAGGATAAAGTGACTATAAGTGGAGTGAATTTGAAAGCACTAACCTTAGCAGTGGTTCGATCAGGAAACGAATTGGGCTAAACGTTGCCCAGTTTGTAGGATGTTTATAACTTCGTTGCACCTGCAATACTGGCCACTCCTTAGCCCAGGGAGTTAATATTTAATAGGAAACAACGGCCTCACCTAGAAATGTCTTTAGGCAAACTAAGGGAATTCTATGTAGCTCAGACCTGTAAGAGGTAGCCCTTTTGTGAGCACATGTAATCACTCTGCCCATTGAAAAAGTGGGCACTTTTTACCATATGTGGTGGTCATGTAAAAAGACCCAGAAATACTGGTCACAAATACATATGATTTTAGAAGAAATTGTTAAAGTCAGATTTGAAATGAATCTTGAACTATCTGTTTGGGATGTTAGATGAGCAAGTTGATAGAAAATGTGGAAGATTATTGCTATTCATGATAATGGCAGCATGAATGACCTATGCTCAAAAATGGAAAGACTCAATAATACTGTCACAAGATGATTGGCCCATGGTTTTGTTTTAATCTGTCTAAATAAAAAATAATTCTAAAAAAAGAATAAATCCATGTGTTTGCAATTGTGCTTATGTCCACTTTGGTTAAGATGAAATAAATGCCTCTGATTTTGCCGTCAACCCATTCAATCTCACTCAATCCTTTGAGAGCTTGACACACCGGGCCCCAAACATGTGGTTCTTGCGGTAGCTGAAATCATTGAACAGTCAAACAAAATTACACTTCACAATTACTTTAACGAGCAAGAATAAATTTATTTTATTTATTTATTTCACAGTTTTCTATACCGAGCTTCTCAACCTCATTGATGGACTTCCAGCCATAAAAAACATATACACTCATTAAAATATCATATATCACAATTACAAAAACAACTTTAAAAACACTATATATAAAACTACAGTGGTCAGTCGTCCTATTAAGATGGATCTACATCAACTTCCATCCAGGGTCCTATGGTGTTGTCTCATTCCTCGAAGGCCTGACTCCACAGCCACGTCTTCACTCGTTTCCTAAATGTTAGGATGGATGGGGCGGTTCTGGCCTCCAGAGGGAGAGAGTTCCAGAGTCGCGGGGCCACCACCGAGAAGGCCCTGTCCCTCGTCCCCACCAGGCGCGCTTGCGAGGCCGGTGGGACCGAGAGCAGGGCCTCTCCAGATGATCTTAATAATCTTGATGGTTCGTAGGGGAGAATACGTTCGGAGAGGTAAACAGGGCCGGAGTCGTTTAGGGCTTTATAGGTCAACACCAGCACTTTGAATTGTGCTCAGAAGCTAATTGGCAGCCAGTGGAGCTGGCGTAACAGCGGAGTGGTGTGCTCCCTGTACCCAGCCCCCGTTAGTAATCTGGCAGCGATGAATCCAGGAGAACTCCCAGACTGCGTACCTGAGCTTTCAGGGGGAGTGTGACCCCGTCCAGCACAGGCTGTAACCCCGTACCCTGTTCGGTCTTACGACTGACCAGGAGTACCTCTGTCTTGTCTGGATTTAGTTTCAATCTGTTGTCCCTCATCCAGTCCGAGACAGTCATTTCATAATGTAATGGAAATTACCTTATTACTTTCAAACCCTGCCATTAAATTTGGAGGGATTTTGACTGATTTCATGCCATTCTCTTCACACACCGATACAGTTCTTCAGCAACTGTAAAATCTGTAGCATTTAAAATACAACTATTAGGATCCCATGTGCTCAGTTTCTGTGGATTTCCGATGGAATGGGCTAAACGTCATGTGATGATACCCATTTGAAATTGTTCTCAAACTGCATTAAAAACTGAACATTTCCTAATGTAATGAGGCCCACTGATTTCATCTTCTTTGACCATAGGTGGCATGTTTCCTTAGGCTGGCATCCATTATCACCTGGAGTCCCAGAAAAGCCCAAAATGAGCTGACCTTTTTTTTTTTTGTTGATATCTACCAACATAACCAACATATCAATTCATTAGCTGTTTGGGAACCAGTAGATGCATATGTTTTAACCCCTATTTAATACTAAACTAAGAACCACTGCAGACTCTTTGCATGAAATGTCTCACCATGTTTTATTGAGGCATGTAATGTACCTATCTCTGTAAATTCTTTATTTGTATACCTACTCATATATTTGCCTATATAGCTATCAATATGTATGCTGGATAATGGTTATTGCTATGCATTAAAACATGCTGATACTTGTTGTCTTAGTTGTCCATGTGGTTTGTTCCAGCATTATTATTCTACAACATTGTAGCAAATCCATCTTTAGGAAAATAGCTGAACACATCTCCCTGCTCTCTGAAAACATAAAAATCGCCATGCTGGAGTTGTTTGGTTGTTTATAGAATTGCCTGGGGAATATTTTGGTGTATATATATGGGGGGGGGCAATAGAATTTCAACAGCCTCAAAAATCAAAAGGTGAGTTGTGATGCCATCAGTCACCATAATTGCCAACAGGATACCAGCTGTATTGTCAAAGGCTTTCACGGC